GGAATGACATGTAAAAGTCATGCATAAAGGCTAAAATGCTAAAATGCTTTCATTTGCCATCATTTTCTACGCCATCTATTGAGGAAACGTGGGTATTGCAGGGAAAAGGCAGAAGTATAATGATAATATAAATAAATTATATGGTTTGGATAGAAGAAATAGAATTTTATCGGGCCGCATTTAAAAGCTACACGGGCCGCATCCGGCCCCTGGGCCTTAGTTTGCCCATGCCTGCTGATATTAAAGACAGAGGAGAGGCTACGAGAAACCAACATTCCACATATTTTTTTTTCCATTTCTGAATATTTCTATGTGTATTCATTTTACTCGGCCTGTACTTCTTCAGTCATTGCCTCTTCTACCTGCCTCATTTCCCTCCCTGCCTCCCTCCTTCCCTCCTGTCCTCCGGCTCTCCAAAGGCAGCGTGTGAGCGCTAATGGTCTCTATGTGAACGCAGCGTAGCCTCACCACAGCTCACAGTTCATGGAGAGCTACTCTGAGCTGGGTGTGTTTCAGGGTTCTTCACGTCCGCTCCCAGGTGGAGCTGGGAGAATGGGATGTGTCGTGGCTCTGAAAACATCCTCATGTGTTCACATCTGTGTCGGCCGGTGCTCCAGCCGTCTGTGATATTCACTGGACTGTAATGGAGTCCACAGCTTCAGTGGGAGCATTGAAAAGTATCATCATAAATATACAGTATGTGGATTGATTCTTAAATATGGTAATGATGAAAAAAAAACCCCAACTCAACAGGAATTATAGCCATTTTTAAACATAACAAATAAAATTGAAGATAGGAAAATATCTAAAATTACAAAAGAAAAGGGGAAAATGTACAGCAATAAATTTAAAAGAAAAAAGTCACAAAGTTGTAAGAATAAAATAATTTGTGAAAATAGTCATACATTTTCAGGAATAAAAACAAAATCTTACATTAATAAGAATAAACTCCGACATTTGTGAGAAAAATGTCACAATTAAAATTAAAAACAAAAAGCTTTGGACATTTTTCTTTCCAACCTTTTTTTACTAAGATTCCAACATATTTTTTTTCTGATAATCTTAATGACTTTTCTTAAAACACTACAACTTTATACTTGGTAAATTCTTCACTTTATTTTTTGTGAATTCAGATACTTTTTCTCCTTCAGTGTGTGGGCCTAATGATCCGTGGTATACAACAAAAAGTCGAAACAAACAAAAAAGTAAAGAAAATCATCAGTTTGACCCACAGCAGTAACTTAAGTTCCAGCCTCAGTTTAACAACAATCCAACAGTCTGACCACGCTGTCCATCCAGGACACGGTTGAATTGTGAGGTGAAATCCATTATTTTTTCTTTCAGACGCACAACTCTAAGCTCGTTTCGCTGCTAAGAATCGCTGATTTATTCACGAGCGTTCAATAGTGCAATCCTGAGAGGCGCGGAATCGTTGTTCATTATTATCATGATCATTATTTCTAACAGTGGGAACCAGATAACGCAGGTCTGATCTGAGACACGGAC